TTTTTTTTTTCTTGTAAATTTGTGTAAGCTCTTTGTAGATTCTGGATGTTAGCCTTTTGTCCGATGGATAGATTGCAAAAATTTTCTCCCATTCTGTAGGTTGCCTGTTCACTCTGCCAATAGTTTCTTTTGCTGTGCAGAAGCTCTTTAGTTTAATTAGATCTCGTTTGTCAATTTTGGCTTTTGTTGCCATTGCTTTTGGTGTTTTAGTAATGAAGTATTTGCCCATGCCTATGTCCTGAATGGTATTGCCTAGGTTTTCTTCTAGGGTTTTTATGGTTTTAGGTCTTACCTTTAAGTTTTTAATCCAAATGTGGTATTTTCTTTGGAATCTGTGTTTCAAATAGCCAAGGAGTGATTTGCAATTTCCTCTCCCTATCGTCTGATTTATAAAAGGAATGTAGTAATATTATGTTCATAGAATAGTAATGTGCATGGAGTAGGAGTTTATCTTTGAAAATGTAAATTGCAAAATCATTTTCTTAGCAGTGAAAGATGTTAATATGGGGAATACAGCTTTGGAATTCTCCATGTCCTGAACTTAGTTAGCAGACATGTCATTCTCCAGTGTAGACAAAAGCTGATTACTAATAACTAAAGACGGTTATGGTGGGCTTGTGGGGTTATGAGTACCTTTTTATTTTTCTATTGAACATTTTCTATGTTCTTAATATATTATAATTAAAAATAGTGTATTTTTCATTTTTAAAAGCACTGCAGTTCCAGTTAAACCTCCAATTCCATGTATTATGGGAAGGTACAGATATATAAATCCTTCCTAGATGCAACTTAAAAAAATAACACACAAATTGAGTATCAGGAACCTTACGATGTTTTGCTCTCCTCTCAGTTCCACCTGTAAACACCTTTCAGAGGAAAAGGCTACAAATCCATTTAAGCAATTGAAGTCATTTTTAAAATATTTTCCCCTAATATTTGACAAATTAAGCTTGAAACTGGCCAGGTATGGTGGCTCACACCTGTAATCCCAGCACTTTGGAAGGCTAAGGCAAGAAGATCACTTGAGCTTAGGAGTTTGAGACCAGCTTGGACAACATGACAAAACCCTGTCTCTATAAAAAATACAAAAATTAGCCAGACGTCGTGGTGCATGCCTGCAGCCCCAGCTGCTCGGGAGGCTGAGGTGGGAGGATTGCTGTAGCCCGGAAGGTTGAGGCTGCAGTCAGCCGTGATCATGCCACTGCACTCCAACCTGGGCAACAGAATGAGACACTATGTCAAAAAAAAAAAAAAAAAAGACAAAGAGGAACCCTTTTACTCTGAAACATAATTCATATGAATCAAAAACTTCTTGTGAAGAATAAATAGCATGAATAAAAACATGGTGGACTATTTTTCTGTTTGGGGGGAATTGAACTGTTTGGTTCATTTGGCCCATGGAAAGCTGACCTCTTGAATTCCCGTATGGTACACTGCCTTCCTAGGAAATATGTGGAAGTTCTAGCTGTTGAGTCCTGGCAGCCCCCATTTGTACTAGCTGCTTTTCAAGTGCTCAGTAATAGCCACATCTGACTAGTGGCTATCATGTTGGACAGTGCAGACTTGGATCATTGCCATCATGGCAGCAAGGCACTGGACATGGCAGTGCTCTGTGCCTTCCTGGGCACCAGCTGATGGATTTCTTCTTTGTTTATATTCACAGTGCAGCTGTCTGCTTCAGAAAGTGAGGGCTCCAGGAATGAGGAGAATCTTCAAGTGCTGCCTCACATTGTGACATGTCTGATCCCTTGCTCCCATCCCTGCAGCATGAACAAGGTAAGAGGTACTTTGAGGAATCAGCACTTGTATTTCCTTTACGGTACCATGATTTTCTGGAATGCATATGTCTTTCCATGATGTGAAGAGGTTGCTTCTCCTGCCAGAAGCGTTTCAGAGTTGGAGAGTCGTGTGATCCCCTACAAGCAGGGTCACAGGTGCTAGTGGCTAGTCTGACTGCGTAGTCCTTTGGAGGTGTCATTTATACTTGCCAGGGGCCTCTGAGTGGCTGAAATATTGGGTTTTAGCATAACTGCCTTGGCATGAATATTGGAATATTGAGACTCTGAGGCTAGATTTCCTGGGACTAAATATCACTTTTTCCAGATGCTAGTGTCAGTGACCCTACGCAAGTGGCCTGACTTCTTGGTTCCTCAATCTCCCCATCTGTAAAATGCTGATAATAATGATACCTACCTGATAGGATTATTGTAGGGATGAAATGAGTTACTACTTGTACCAGTGCTTAATATAGTGCCTGTCCACATTACAAGCACTTGATACATATTTACTGCTGTTGTTTTTATGTTGGGGACACTATTATCCCTTAGACATAGTTGCAAGGGAGTGTAAGGTGCATCTTTTCCATTTTTATTTATTCCCTGATTAAATTGGTGAGTGGCGATTTATTACCAGATGGGCACTATGGGAATAAACAAAGAATACAACTTGAGACATGCCTTCAGCATGTGCAGACTATCTTGGGGCAGAATAGTGAGTGTGTTCTAACAAGGTATGTACCAGAAGCTCTGGAGGCACAGAAAAAGGAACATCCAACTCTGGGGAATCTGGGAAGGACAATGTAGAGGAGGCGACATTTGAGTAGGATCCTGGATGGGAAATGGTAATTTCCTGGACAGGGAAGGTAGGGCAAGGCATTCCAGGTAAAGGAATGTGTTTAAGCACAAAAGCATATGAGAAAGCCTGGTGTGCTTAGAGACCAGCAAAGAGTTTGGTATGACTGGAGCAGGGTTTCTCAGCCTTGACACTTGATATTTGGACCAGGTAATTCTTTGAAGTGAGAGACCGTCTTCTGCATTTTAGGATTTTTTGTAGCATCCCCTTCCCTTCACTGTAATTGTGACAACCAAAAATGTCCTCAGATTATTGCCCAATGTCCCATACAGGGACAGAATTACCCCTTGGTTGAAAACTACTACGCTAGTGAAAGGTGGTCAGATATAAGTCCAGAGAAGGAGGCAAGGGCCAGATCCGATGAGCCACTAGAGGATTTAAAATGGGAGAGATGTTTCTGGAGGCCTACAAAAACAGGGGTGGTATTGTGGGCCTGTTATATGGATTATGGTAGAGTTGGACAGCACTGTTTAATGGTTTGGTTGTCAAAAGAGCATATGGGATCTCTAGACTTTAGAAATTCCATTTACCTTGTTGAAATTCTTCTACTAAAGGACACTCTTCCAGTGGTGACTTTTCTCATGGTCATTTACTCAGCCTTCTCATGGGCAGGAAGGGCCCTGGGAAGCTTCAGGGATTGGAGAAAGCTGGAAAAGCCCCCTGTGCACTTACCCTATTTTCCTAGATGCAAGTTTTATGGGAGACACTGGCCGCTTTATCCTATCTGAAGAGACCAGCAAAAAAACAAGCAGTTGTTTCTGAGGAGTTTTCGTTTGGCTGAGCTTAGCCAAAGAGAAAGAAACCAGAGCTGAGTTTTCCCACTTCAACCCCACCCCAGCTTAAACACTTGGCGTTAAGCCGCCTTTGAGAAGTGAGCTGTTGGAATACTGGAAAGTAAGCAGGTGTTCTGCCCCAGGGTCATGACTGGAGGTGGGGAGGAGGGGAGATCCATGGCTGTAAACCTCTTTTGGCTCCTAGTATTTGGAGTTTGGTGTATTGAAAAGCTAAGGCAACTTTTTGGAGATCTGTTATCAGCAAATGCAGTTTGCTGTGACAGCTCCGCCCTGAGTTTCTCCAGAGCAACCCAACATCTAATGTCATGGATTCACTCTCCACACACAGCTGGGAACCAGACTCCTCAGAAATGTCAAGTCTCAGTAGGTGTGTCTGTTGCTTGGGATATTATGTTCTGCCTGAGTGGCTCAGTACGTGCTCTATTTTATATTGTTTTAATTGAAAGTAGTGATTAGGCATGAGTGTCACCTTCATAGGTCAGCATTTTTCTTATGGCTTTCTCGGCATAAGACAAAGAATAGGTCACTCTCTGGGGAGGAAACAGCTCTTCTCAGCATAAATAAAACCAGAGAATCTCCTCCTCAATTATGGTGTTAGTTGGAGTGCTAGAAATATTGTTGTGGGTGTGACTGACGTTCTAAGTGGATTTGTTCCTAGAAAGTTGGAGACATTGGAATTGTGCACTCTCCTCTTCCTCAGACACACACTGTAATGCTCTCCTTTCTTCCTAAACCCCAGCTCACTGATGGGGCACTTCAGTTAGGGAAGTGTACGGATGGAGGGTGGCCCTGGTGTTCTAGGGTCCTTGTTATTCCTGTGAAGTGCCAGGGCGATGCTGATTGCAGTTAGACATTGACAGCTCTCTTCTGAATCCATCGTGGACCATCCCTCTAGAAAACACAGAATCCCCAAACCCCATGGCACAAAGGGATTAGCGGTTGGCTGCACTCATTTAACAGGACTACCCTGATACCTCATGAGTTCCTGTCCACCAGGTAGGGCCTTCATTCCTCACCTTCTTGCACTCCGATCTCTGCCAGGGTCTGAGGAAACACTAGAAAGGGGTGCACTTCTGGCCTTCGGATAGCTAGCATGTTGGTGTATCACTGCTGGCTGAAAACAGAAACAGAGGGCATTCCTGCGCATAAGGCCCGTCATGAATCTGCTGTCATCCCTGAGGCCAGTCTACAGGAAATATGTCAGTGTACATGGAATATGATAACAGACTCATGGGTTTACACAGAGTAGACAGCCTCATATTTATTTATTCACCTTTTAAGTTTGTAAACAGGCATTAATGGTTGTAAATTCTGAGCCTTAACATATTAAGGAAATTGTGGGGCACATATTTTCCCAGGGTATGCATTCTCCCAAACCCTCATGCAGAC